AATAATCGACTACAGAGGTCAAGAGGTTGCAGAAGCTACAGGCGAAGTTTCTGACTCGGGTTTGGTACTGTATTTCTGCGGAAGGCAGTCATTTTGAACATTATTTTAATTTGGTCATTCTGATATAATAAAGCCCATGATTCATGATTGGAGTATCACTCCACATTATGCTATAATTTGAACGGCAAATCATGTATTCTTTTGCTGCTACTTGTTTAAACAAGCTGTTCAAATCTTTTCGGTACAAGTTCTATTTCTTTAATTTAACATTTATTGTTTGTCATATAGCAATACAAATTATCAATCTATGAGGTTTACTACGATGTTTTAATATTACTATGATGTTTTCTTTTGATCTTTTTATAGATAGTGAATTACTGTTCTCTAAACTCAATATGTATTCGACCCCCTTTTCTGAGCAATTCAGATGCTTCAACTTTATGTAGGCATAACTCGGTCAGTTTTTATCGTAATAAAATTAAACTTTTTGTGTTTTCTTTGTTTTTGTGTACTACATCTTTTCCTAAATATAATTGATAGGACCTGGGGACCGTATAAAAATTAAATTTTTGTAATTTTTTTGTAAATGGGGTTTTTGGTTCGAAAAGCACGTAAAAACATTCTTTACCTTTTTTAAAACATTTTTCAAATTGGAAGTGCATGTCTAAGCCGAACGGTTCGGGAATTAGCTATTGGGTCACTTTAAGGCTGGACACCCTGTATATTTATATATGACTTGTGGTTGTGTTCACATGGGGACCAAACTGATGGATGTATAATGTGATAATCGTCTTCGTAATATTTCTTTTTGAGAGATAACGTTCTTTCATCTTTCATTCAGGACACGTACTTTATTCTCACACACAATCCTTACATGTGTCAATGAATAAAATAATTAAAATACAAATAAATATTTTAAATGAATGTTTTTTAATTGTTTTACCCTGAATCCTCACGAAGTTCGAATATCTTTCCCGTGAATTTAGAGTGTAGAATAACACATCACTGTATTTTTTACGTTACTTATGAATAAGGTATTGTATCTTTTTCTATAGTAGGTGTCATATTAAGAAAACAATATTTGGCGGAAACAATAAGATTTCTTATTTATTTTAATCTTGAGTCTCATCGCTTTGCTCTTAAGGTTGCAGAGGTATGTAATTGATAAGCACTTGCATTACGGAAATTCCATTCCAAATACTTCAATTTGTGTTGGAAACAACGGAAATTTTTTCTTTCAACTAATTTACCATAGTTCTGTTTTGGTTTGGTTGTATAAACATCTAAAATCGGGGTTGGCAGCCTAAAGCACGCATGCCACATTTGGCACCTGGTACAATTCTCAGTGGCACTATCCACTACTCTACAAATTTGTCAATTTTTGAATAAATGAAAGTTGATAAATTTGTGATGGACCTTATTTAACAAACATATTCAGAATTACAGGAAGTTTACGGAATTACGATAAAATATGAAAGATAAATTTACAACTTTTTTGTAAATTATTGAATGTCATTGCTGGAGAGATTTAATTGTTTGAAGAGAGAAAGTGGTTTGTACTCTGCTTTCCGCTTTTGGATCTACATATCTAAGTAAAAAAATCTTTCCGCATATGAAAAATATTTCGAGTCCACAAAGAAATTGTTTAACAATTGAAGGCTCAGAAATGAGTTAAAATCAAAGTCACGAATTATATCTCGGATTTTCCGATATGAAAATAGAGTGGTGTGTGTGCAGGCACTAAGTTCCCATTAAAAAATTTATTTATCTTCTTATTTAACTATAATTAAAGGAAGTACACATGTATTTTATTTTTTATTTAAATAAATACGTTTTAAAATTTCATAATGTAAATATACTATTTGAATTTCTTTTTTATTTTTGGTAAAGAAATAGTTATATTTTATGTTGTTTATTTTTATGTTAATAAATATCTTTAAAAGTTACAAAATTAATGTATAATAAATGTAAATCTATATTATTCACCTCTATTCTCTAATTCTGCATGCATTATTGTGGGAATCGAGTTGTTTAAAAAATGTTCTGTTGTGTGGCACGCTGAATCGTATTGGTAGATTGGTTTGGCACGGCACAGCTAAAAGGTTGCCAACCCGTGTGATCTAGAAAAATACTCGATATTTAATTTTTCAAAATTATATTAATTGCGTGATTAATAATTTTGCTGTAAACTGTTATTGATGAATCATTTCTCGTTTTAATTAGTTGTTGTTTTTTTATCTAATATTTAGCAATATAGTTTGTGAAAAAATGTATTGTTTCTACTCACACACAAATCAGAAAATATTATTACCGTAAAATCCAGCATTATTGTATCCTAGTTCAGAATTCGTTTATAAATAAATAAACTGAGTTTAAAAGTATATGACTTTGGGCGGCCTGTTCGACTTCGGCCGATGCAATTTTATTTTGTTTCGGCCCTAGATTTCTTTTGAGTGCTGTAGTCGAGCGATTGCAATGTGAAGGAAAGCGTGAAGAACATTACGCAACCGTCGCATCGGTGGTTCAGTGGTAGAATACCGCCTCGCCACGCGGGCGGCCCGGCCCGGATTCCCCAGCCGATGCAATTTTTTATTTTGTTTCGGCCCTAGATTTTTTGCAGAGTGCAGTCGAGCGATTGCAATGTGAAGGAAAGCGTGAAGAACACATGCAACCGTCGCATCGGTGGTTCAGTGGTAGAATGCTTCACCGCCACGCGGGCAAGCAGCCCGGGTTCGGATTCCCGGCCGATGCAGTTTTTATTTTGTTTCGGCCCTAGATTTCTTTGAGTGCAGTCGAGCGATTGCAATGTGAAGGAAAGCGTGAAGAACACATGCAACCGTCGCATCGGTGGTTCAGTGGTAGAATGCTCGCCTGCCACGCGGGCGGCCCGGGTTCGATTCCCGGCCGATGCAGTTTTTATTTTGTTTCTGCCCTAGATTTCTTTGAGTGCAGTCGAGCGATTGCAATGTGAAGGAAAGCGTGAAGAACACATGCAAACTGTCGCATCGGTGGTTCAGTGGTAATGCTTCGCCTGCTACGCGGGCGGCCCAGGTTCGATTCCCGGCCGATGCAGTTTTATTTTGTTTCGGCCCCAGATTTTGAGGCAGTCGAGCGATTGCAATGAAGGAAAGCGTGAAGAACACATGCAACCGTCGTATCGGTGGTTCAGTGTGGTAGAATGCTCGCTCGCCACGCGGCGGCCCGGTTCGATTCCCGGCCGGATGCAGTTTTATTTTGTTTCGCCCTAGATTTCTTTTGAGTGCAGTCGAGCCGATTGCACGAAGCGTGAAGAACACATGCAACCGTCGCATCGGTGGTTCAGTGGTAGAATGCTCGCCTGCTACGCGGGCGGCTCCGGGTTCGACTCCCGCCTTCGATGCAGTTTTTATTTTGTTTCCGGCCCCGATTTCTTTTGAGTGCAGTCGAGCGATTGCAATGTGAAGGAAAGCGTGAAGAACACATGCAACCGTCGCATCGGTGGTTCAGTGGTAGAATGCTCGCCTGCCACGCGTAAGCGGCTCCGGTTCGATTCCCGGCCGATGCAGTTTTTATTTTGTTTCGGCCCTTAGATTTCTTTTGAGTGCAGTCGAGTTGATTGCAATGTGAAGGAAAAGCGTGAAGAAATCACATGCAACCGTCGCATCGGTGGTTCAGTGGTGAATGCTCGCCTGCTACGCGGGCGGCCCGGGTTCGATTCCCGGCCGATGCAATTTTTATTTTGATTCGGCACTCAGATTTCTTTGAGTGCAGTCGAGCGATTGCAATGTGAAGGAAAGCGTGAAGAACACATGCAAACTGCCGCATCGGTGGTTCAGTGCGGTAGAAATGCTCGCTCGCTACGCGGGCGGCCCCGGTTCGATTCCGGCCGATGCAATTTTTATTTTGCCTGGCCCTAGATTTCTTTTGAGTGCAGTCGAGCGATTGCAATGTGAAGGAAAGCGTGAAGAACACACATGCAACCGTCGCATCGGTGGTTCAGTGGTAGAATGCTTCCGCCTGCCACGCGCGGGCGGCCCGCCAAGTTGATTCCCGGCCGATGCAATTTTTATTTTGTTTCGGCCCCAGGATTTTTGCAGAGTGCAGTCGAGCGATTGCAATGTGAAGGAAAGCGTGAAGAACACATGCAACCGTCGCATCGGTGGTTCAGTGGTAGAATGCTCGCCTGCCACGCGGGCGGCCTGGTTCGATTCCCGGCCGATGCGGTAATTTTTATTTTGTTTCGCCCTAGATTTCTTTTGAGTGCAGTCGAGCGATTGCAATGTGAAGGAAAGCGTGAAGAACACATGCAACCGTCGCATCGGTGGTTCAGTGGTAGAATGCTCGCCTGCCACGCGGGCGGCCCGGTTCGATTCCCGGCCGATGCAATTTTTATTTTGTTTCGGCACCAGATTTCTTTGAGTGCAGTCGAGCGATTGCAATGTGAAGGAAAGCGTGAAGAACACATGCAACCGTCGCATCGGTGGTTCAGTGGTAGAATGCTCGCCTGCCACGCGGGCGGCCCGGGTTCGATTCCCGGCCGATGCAATTTATTTTGTTTCGGCCCTAGATTTTGAGTGCAGCCGAGCGATTGCAATGAAGGAAAGCGTGAAGAACAACAATAAACCGCACGGTGGTTCAGTGGTGAATCGCTCGCCTGCCACGCGGGCGGCCTGGGTTCGATTCCCGCCGATGCAATTTTTATTTTGTTTTGGCCCCTAGATTTCTTTGAGTGCAGTCGAGCGATTGCAATGTGAAAGCGTGAAGAAATTCATGCAACCGTCGCATCGGTGGCTCAGTGCGGTAGAATGCCTCGCCTGCGCCACGCGTGGGCGGCCCGGGTTCGATTCCCGGCCGATGCAGTTTTTATTTGTTTCGGCCCTAGATTTCGTTGAGTGCAGTCGAGCGATTGCAATGTGAAGGAAAGCGTGAAGAACACATGCAACCGTCGCATCGGTGGTTCAGTGGTAGAATGCCTGCCTGCCACGCGGGCGGCCCGTTCGATTCCCGTCCGATGCAGTTTTTTTATTTTGTTTCGGCCCCAGATTTTGAGTGCAGTCGAGCGATTGCAATGTGAAGGCGCGTGAAGAACACATGCAACCGTCGCATCGGTGGTTCAGTGGTAGACGTCGCTCGCCACGCGGGCGGCCCGGGTTCGATTCCCCGGCCGATGCAATTTTTATTTTGTTTCGGCCCTAGATTTCTTTGAGTGCAGTCGAGCGATTGCAATGTGAAGGAAAGCGTGAAGAACACATGCAACCGCTCCATCGGTGGTTCAGTGGTAGAATGCTCGCCTGCCACGCGGGCGGCCCGGTTCGATTTCCGGCCGATGCAATTTTATTTTGTTTCGGCCCTAGATTTCTTTTGAGTGCAGTCGAGCTGATTGCAATGTGAAGGAAAGGGTGAAGAACACATGCAACCGTCGCATCGGTGGTTCAGTGGTAGAATGCTCGCCTGCCACGCGGCGTCTGTTCGATTCCCGGCCGATGCAATTTTTATTTTGTTTCGGCCCTTAGATTTTGAGTGCAGTCGAGCGATTGCAATGTGAAGGAAAGCGTGAAGAACACATGCAAACCGTCGCATCGGTGGTTCAGTGGTAGAATGCTCGCCTGCCACGCGGGCGGCCCGGGTTCGATTCCCGGCCGATGCAATTTTTATTTTGTTTCGGCCCTAGATTTCTTTGAGTGCAGTCGAGCGATTGCAATGTGAAGGAAAGCGTGAAGAACACATGCAACCGTCGCATCGGTGGTTCAGTGGTGAATGCCGCTCGCCAAGCTACGCGGGCGGGCCGGGCCTTTCGATCTCGGCCGATGCAATTTTATTTTGTTTCGGCCCTAGATTTCTTTGAGTGCAGTCGAGCGATTGCAATGTGAAGGAAAGCGTGAAGAACACATGCAACCGTCGCATCGGTGGTTCAGTGGTAGAATGCTCGCCTGCCACGCGGGCGGCCCGGGTTCGATTCCCGGCCGATGCAATTTTTATTTTGTTTCGGCACCAGATTTCTTTGAGTGCAGTCGAGCGATTGCAATGTGAAGGAAATTGTGAAGAACACATGCAACCGTCGCATCGGTGGTTCAGTAGAATGCCGCCTGCCACGCGGGCGGCCCGTTTCCGATTCCCGGCCGATGCAATTTTTATTTGTTTCGGCCCTAGATTTCTTTGAGTAGTCGAGCGATTGCAATGTGAAGGAAAGCGTGAAGAACACATGCAACCGTCGCATCGGTGGTTCAGTGGTAGAATGCTCGCCCGCCACGCGGGCGGCCCGGTTCGATTCCCGGCCGATGCAATTTTTATTTTGTCGGCCCTAGATTTCTTTGAGTGCAGTCGAGCGATTGCAATGTGAAGGAAAGCGTGAAGAACACATGCAACCGTCGCATCGGTGGTTCAGTGGTAGAATGCTCGCCTGCCACGCGGGCGGCCCGGGTTCGATTCCCGGCCGATGCAATTTTTTATTTTGTTTCCGGCCTCAGATTTTTTGAGTGCAGTCGAGCGATTGCAATGTGAAGGAAAGCGAAGAACACATGCAACCGTCGCATCGGTGGTTCAGTGGTAGAATGCTCGCTCGCCACGCGGGCGCGGCTCCGGGTTCGATTCCCGGCCGATGCAATTTTTATTTTGTTTCGGCCCTAGATTTCTTTGAGTGCAGTCGAGCGATTGCAATGAAGGAAAGCGTGAAGAACAACACAAACGTCGCATCGGTGGTTCAGTGAACGCTCGCCTGCCACGCGTGGGCGCGTCTGGTTCGATTCTTTGGCCGATGCAATTTTTTTGTTTCGGCCCCAGATTTCTTTGAGTGCAGTCGAGCGATTGCAATGAAGGAAAAGCGCAAAGAACACACAGCGCAACCGTCGCTTCGGTGGTTCGCGGTAGAATGCTCGCCTGCCGCGCGGGCGGCCCGTCTGACCTCCCGGCCGATGCAGTTTTTATTTTGTTTCGGCCCTAGATTTCTTGTGAGTGCAGTCGAGCGATTGCAATGTGAAGGAAAGCGTGAAGAACACATGCAACCGTCGCATCGGTGGTTCAGTGGTAGAATGCTCGCCTGCCACGCGTTCGGCCCGGGTTCGATTCCCGGCCGATGCAGTTTTATTTTGTTTCGGCCCTAGATTTCTTTTGAGTGCAGTCGAGCGATTGCAATGTGAAGGAAAGCGTGAAGAACACATGCAACCGTCGCATCGGTGGTTCAGTGGTAGAATGCTCGCCTGCCACGCGGGCGGCCCGGGTTCGATTCCCGGCCGATGCAATTTTTATTTTGTTTCGGCCCTAGATTTCTTTGAGTGCAGTCGAGCGATTGCAATGAAGGAAAGCGTGAAGAACACATGCAACCGTCGCATCGGTGGTTCAGTGGTAGAATGCTCGCTCGCCACGCGGGCGGCTCCGGGTTCGATTCCCGGCCGATGCAATTTTATTTTGTTTCGGCCCTAGATTTCCTTGAGTGCAGTCACGAGCGATTAAAATGTGAAGGGAAAGCGTGAAGAACACATGCAACCGTCGCATCGGTGGTTCAGTGGTAGAATGCTCGCTCAATACGCGGGCGGCCCGGGTCTGATTCCCGGCCGATGCAATTTTATTTTGTTTAGGCCCCAGATTTCTTTTGAGTGCAGTCGAGCGATTGCAATGTGAAGGAAAGCGTGAAGAACACATGCAAACCGTCGCATCGGTGGTTCAGTGGTAGAATGCTCGCCTGCTACGCGGGCGGCCCAAGTTCGATCTCCTTGGCCGATGCAATTTTTATTTTGTTTCGGCCTCTAGATTTCCCTTTTTGAGTGCAGTCGAGCTGATTTCGTAATGTGAAGGGAAAGCGTGAAGAACACATGCAACCGTCGTATCGGTGGTTCAGTAGAATGCTCGCCTGCCACGCGGGCGGCCCGGGTTCGATTCCCGGCCGATGCAATTTTTATTTTGTTTCGGCCCTAGATTTCTTTGAGTGCAGTCGAGCGATTGCAATGTGAAGGAAAGCGTGAAGAACACATGCAAACCGTCGCATCGGTGGTTCAGTGGTAGAATGCTCGTTCGCCACGCGGGCGGCTCCAAGTCTGATTCCCGCCGATGCAATTTTATTTTGTTTCGCCCTAGATTTCTTTTGAGTGCAGTCGAGCGATTGCAATGTGAAGGAAAGCGTGAAGAACACATGCCCGTCGCATCGGTGGTTCAGCGGTAGAATGCTCGCCTGCCACGCGGGCGCTCCGGGTTCGATTCCCGGCCGATGCAATTTTTATTTTGTTTCGCCCTAGATTTCTTTGAGGGCAGTCGAGCGATTGCAATGTGAAGGAAAGCGTGAAGAACAACACAACCGTCGTGCATCGATGGTTCAGTGGTAGAATGCTCGCTCGCCACGCGGGCGTCTGGTTCGATTCCCGGCCGATGCAGTTTTTTATTTTGTTTCGGGCCCCAGATTTCTTTGAGTGCAGCCGGAGTTTACTGGTACGTGAAGGAAAGCGTGAAGAACACATGCACCGTCGTATCGGTGGCTCAGCGGTAAATGCTCGCCTCGCCACGCGGGCGGCCCTGGGTTCGATTCCCGTCAGATGCAGTTTTTATTTTAGTTTCGGCCCTCAGATTTCTTTGAGTGCAGTCGAGCGATTGCAATGTGAAGAAAGCGTGAAGAACACATGCAACCGCCGCATCGGTGGTTCAGTGGTAGAATGCCTGCCTGCCACGCGGGCGGCCCGTTCCGGATTCCCGGCCGATGCAGTTTTTATTTTGTTTCGGCCCCAGGATTTCTTTTTGAGTAGCCGAGCGATTGCAATGTGAAGGAAAGCGTGAAGAACACATGCAACCGTCGCATCGGTGGTTCAGTGGTAGAATGCTCGCCTGCCACGCGGGCGGCCCGGGTTCGATTCCCGGCCGATGCAATTTTATTTTGTTTCGGCCCTAGATTTCTTTGAGGCAGTCGAGCTGATTGCACGTGAAGAAAGCGTGAAGAACACATGCAACCGTCGCATCGGTGGTTCAGTGGTAGAATGCTCGCCTGGCTACGCGGGCGGGGCCTCGGGTTCGATCCCGCCGATGCAATTTCGGCTTTGCTTCGGCCCTAGATTTTGAGTGCAGTCGAGCGATTGAAATGTGAAGCGTGAAGTTGTTCACATGCAAACGCCGCCCGGTGGTTCAGTGGTAGAATGCCTCGCCTGCCACGCGGGCGGCCTGGTTCCTGATTCCCGCCGGATGCAATTTCTTTACTTGCCGGGCCCTAGATTTCTTTTGAGTGCAGTCGAGCTGATTGCAATGTGAAGGAAAGCGTGAAGAAATCACATGCAACCGTCGCATCGGTGGCTTTAGTGGTAGAATGCTCGCCTGCTACGCGGGCGGCCCGTTCGATTCCCGGCCGATGCAATTTTTATTTCCCTTTTGTTCGGCCCTCTAGGATTTCCTTTTGGAGTGCAGTCGAGCGATTGCAATGTGAAGGAAAGCGTGAAGAACACATGCAACCGTCGCATCGGTGGTTCAGTGGTAGAATGCTCGCTCGCCACGCGGGCGGGCCGGGCCCGACTCCCGGCTGATGCAATTTAATTTTGTTTCGGCCCTAGATTTCTTTTGAGTGCAGTCGAGCTGATTGCAATGCAGCGAAAGCGTGAAGAACACATGCAACCGTCGCATCGGCGGTTCAGTGGTAGAATGCTCGCCTGCCACGCGGGCGGCCCGTTCGATTCCCCGGCCGATGCAATTTTTATTTTGTTTCTGGCCCTAGATTTCTTTGAGTGCAGTCGAGCGGATTGCAATGTGAAGGAAAGCGTGAAGAACACATGCAACCGTCGCATCGGTGGTTCAGTGGTAGAATGCTCGCCTGCTACGCGGCGGCTCCCGCTGGTTCGATTCCCCGGCCGATGCAATTTTTATTTTGTTTCGGCCCTAGATTTCTTTGAGGCAGTCGAGCGATTGCAATGTAAAGGAAAGCGAAGAACACATGCAACCGTCGCGTCGGTTCAGTGCGCGCGGTAGAATGCTCGCCAGCCACGCGGGCGGCCCGGTTCGATTCCCGCCGATGCAATTTTTTATTTTGTTTCGGCCCCAGATTTCTTTGAGTGCAGTCGAGCGTGATTGCAATGTGAAGGAAAGCGTGAAGAACACATGCAACCGTCGCATCGGTTCAGTGGTAGAATGCTCGCTCAGCTACCGGGCGGCCCGGGTTCGATTCCCGGCCGATGCAATTTTTATTTTGTTTCGGCCCTGATTTCGAGTGCAGTCGAGCGATTGCAACGTGAAGGAAAGCGTGAAGAACACATGCAAATCGTCGCATCGGTGGTTCAGTGGTGAATGCTCGCCTGCCACGCGGGCGGCCCGCTCGATTCCCTGCCGATGCAAATTTTATTTTATTTCGGCCCCAGATTTGAGTGCAGTCGAGCGACGCAATGTGAAGGAAAAGCGAGAACACATGCAACCGTCGCATCGTGGTGGTTGGTGGTAGAATGTCAGCCTCGTTACGCGGAAGTGCTCCGGGTTCGATTTCCGGCCGATGCAATTTTATTTTGTTTCGGCACTAGATTTCTTTTTGAGTGCAGTCGAGCGATTGCAATGTGAAGGAAATTGTGAAGAACACATGCAACCGTCGCATCGGTGTCGGTGAATGCCGCCTGACACGCGGGCGGCCCGGTTCGATTCCCGGCCGATGGAATTTTTATTTTGTTTCGGCACTAGATTTGTTTGAGTGCAATGAGCGATTGCAATGTGAAGGAAAAGCGTGTGAAGAACACAAGCAACCGTCGCATCGGTGGTTCGGTGGTAGAATGCTCGCTCGTTACGCGGGCGGGCCCGGGTTCGATTCCCGGCCGATGCAATTTTTATTTTGTTTCGGCACTAGATTTCTTTGAGTGCAGTCGAGCGATTGCAATGTGAAGCGAAAGGGGAAGAACACGTGCAACCGTCGCATCTGTGGTTCGGTGGTAGAATGCTCGCCTGCCACGCGGGGGGGCCGGGTTCGATTCCCGGCCGATGCATTTTTATTTTGTTTCGGCACTAGATTTCTTTGAGTGCAGTCGAGCGATTAAAATGTGAAGGAAAGCGTGAAGAACACATGCAACCGTCGCATCGGTGGTTCGGTGGTAGAATGCTCGCCTGCCACGCGGGCGGGCCGGTTGATTCCCCGGCCGATGCAATTTTATTTTGTTTCGGCACTAGATTTCTTTGAGTGCAGTCGAGCGACGGTAATGTGAAGGGTGCGAAGAACACATGCAACCGTCGCATCGGTGGTTCGGTGGTAGAATGCTCGCCTGCCTTTTGCGGCGGCTGGCCCGGATTCCCGGCCGATGCAATTTTATTTTTGAGCCTCTGGCATCTGATTTCTTTGAGTGCAGTCGAGCGATTGTAATGTGAAGGAAAGCGTGAAGAACACATGCAACCGTCGCAGACGGGTGGTTTGGTGGTAGAATGCTCGCTCGTTACGCTGGCGGCCTGATTCCCGGCCGATGGCAATTTTTATTTTGTTTCGGCACTAGATTTCTTTGAGCGCAGTCGAGCGATTGCAATGTGAAGGGAAAGCGTGAAGAACACACGCAACCGTCGCATCGGTGGTTCGGTAGAATGCCTGCCTGTGCCACGCGGGCGGCCCGGTTTCGATTCCCGGCCGATGCAATTTTATTTTGTTTCGGCACTAGATTTCTTTTGAGTGCAGTCGAGCGATTGCAATGTGAAGGAAAGCGTGAAGAACACATGCAACCGTCGCATCGGTGGTTCGGTGGTAGAATGCTCGCCTGCCACGCGGCGAATTCGGCTCCGATTCCCGGCCGATGCAATTTTTATTTTGTTTCCGGCACTAGATTTTTTGAGTGCAGTCGAGCGACTGCAATGTAGCGAAAGCGTGAAGTACACATGCAAACCGTCGCATCGGTGGTTCGGTGGTAGAATGCACGCGGGCGACCTGGGTTCGATTCCCGGCCGATGTACTTTTTATTTTGTTTCGGCACCAGATTTCTTTGAGTGCAGTCGAGCGATTGCAATGTGAAGGAAAGCGTGAAGAACACATGCAACCGTCGCATCGGTGGTTCGGTGGTAGAATGCTCGCCTTCCACGCGGGCGTGGCCGGGTTCGATTCCCGGCCGATGCAATTTTTATTTTGTTTCGGCACCAGATTTCTTTGAGTGCAGTCGAGCGATTGCAATGTGAAGGAAAAGCGTGAAGAACACATGCAACGTCGCATCGGTGGTTCGGTGGTAGAATGCTCGCCTGCCACGCGGCGGCCCGGGTTCGATTCCCGGCCGATGCAATTTTTATTTTGTTTCGGCACTAGATTTCTTTGAGTGCAGTCGAGCGATTGCAATGAAGGAAAGCGTGAAAGCAGCCACATGCAACCGTCGCATCGGTGGTTCGGTGTGGTAGAATGCTCGCCTGCCACGCGCGGGCGGCTCCCGGGTTCGATTCCCGCCGATGCAATTTTATTTTGTTTCGGCACTAGATTTTTGAGTGCAGTCGAGCGATTGCAATGTGAAGGAAAGCGTGAAGAACACATGCAACCGTCGCATCGGTGGTTCGGTGGTAGAATGCTTCCGCTCGCCACGCGGGCGGCCCGGGTTCGATTCCCCGGCCGATGCAATTTTTATTTTGTTTCGGCACCTTAGATTTTGAGTGCAGTCACGAGCGATTTCAATGTGAAGGAAAAGCGTGAAGAACACATGCAAACTCGTCGCATCGGTGGTTCGGTGGTAGATTGCCTCGCCCACGCGGCGGCCCGGGGTTCGATTCCCGGCCGATGCAATTTTTATTTTGTTTCGGCACTAGATTTCTTTGAGTGCAGTCGAGCGATTGTACGTGAAGGAAAGCGTGAAGAACGCATGCAACCGTCGCATCGGTGGTTCGGTGGTAGAATGCTCGCCTCGGCACGCGGGCGGCCCGGGTTCGATTCCCGGCCGGAGTACTTTTATTTTGTTTCGCACTAGGATTTCTTTGAGTGCAGTTGAGCGATTGCAATGTGAAGGAAAGCGTGAAGAACGTACGCAAACCGTCGCATCGGTGGTTCGGTGGTAGAATGCTCGCTCGCCACGCGGGCGGCCTGTTTCCGATTCCCGCCGATGCAATTTTTATTTTGTTTCGGCCCTAGATTTCTTTTGAGTGCAGTCGAGCGACGTAATGTGAAGGAAAGCGAAGAACGCGTGCAACCGTCGCATCGGTGGTTCGGTGGTAGAATGCTCGCCTGACACGCGGGCGGCCCGGGTTCGATTCCCGGCCGATGCAATTTTTATTTTGTTTCGGCACTAGATTTCTTTTGGAGCGCAAATTTGCCGATTGCAATGTAAAGGAAAGCGTGAAGAACACGTGCAACCGTCGCTTCGGTGGTTCAGTGCGGTAGAATGCTCGCCTGCCGCCGCGGGCGGCCTGGTTCGATTCCCGGCCGATGCAATTTTTTATTTTGTTTCGGCGCTAGATTTCTTGAGTGCAGTCGAGCGATTGCAATGTGAAGGAAAGCGTGAAGAACACGTGCAACCGTCGCATCGGTGGTTCAGTGGTAGAATGCTCGCTCGCTGCTGGGCGGCCCGCTCCGGATTCCCGGACGATGCAATTTTTATTTTGTTTCGGCACTAGATTTCTTTGGCGCAGTCGAGCGATTGTACGTGAAGGAAAGCGTGAAGAACACATGCAACCGTCGCATCGGTGGTTCAGTGGTAGAATGCTCGCCTGCCACGCGGGCGGCCCGTCTGACCGACGATGCAATTTTTATTTTGTTTCGGCCTCTAGATTTCTTTGAGTGCAGTCGAGCGATTGCAATGTGAAGGAAAGCGTGAAGAACATTGATGCAACCGTCGTATCGGTGGTTCAGTGGTAGAATGCTCGCCTGCCGGGCGCGCTCCGGGTTCGATTCCCGGCCGATGCAATTTTTATTTGTTTCGGCACTGATTTCTTTGAGTGCAGTCGAGCGATTACAATGTGAAGGAAAGCGTAAAGAACACGTGCAACCGTCGCATCGGTGGTTCGGTGGTAGAATGCCCGCTCGTTCACGCGGGCGGCTCCGGGTCTGATTCCCGGCCGATGCAATTTATTTTGTTTCGGCACTAGATTTCTTTTGAGGCAGTCGAGCGATTGCAATGTGAAGGAGCGTGGAGAACACGTGCAACCGTCGCATCGGTGGTTCGGTGGTAGAATGCTCGCCTGCCACGCGGGCGGCCCGGGTTCGATTCCCGGCCGATGCAATTTTTATTTTGTTTCGGCACTAGAGTGCAGTCGAGCGATTGCAATGTGAAGGAAAGCGTGAAGCAACACGTGCAACCGTCGCATCGGTGGTTCAGTGGTAGAATGCTCGCCTCGTTACGCGGCGGCTCCGTTCGATTCCCGGCCGATGCAATTTTATTTTGTTTCGGCACTAGATTTCTTTGAGTGCAGTCGAGCGATTGCAATGTGAAGGAAAGCGTGAAGAACACACGCAACCGTCGCATCGGTGGTTCCGGTGGTAGAATGCAACGCGGGCTGGGTTCGATTCCCGGCCGATGCATTTTTATTTTGTTTCGGCACTAGATTTCTTTGAGTGCAGTCGAGCGATTGCAATGTGAAGGAAAGCGTGAAGAACACGTGCAACCGTCGCAATCGGTGGTTCGGTGGTGGTGAATGCTCGCCTGCCACGCGGGCGCTCCGGGCTCCGGATTCCCCGGCCGATGCAATTTTATTTTTGTTTCCGGCACCTAGATTTTTGAGTGCAGTCGAGCCGGATTGCAAATGTGTGAAGGAAAGCGTGTAGGGGCTAAAACACATGCAACCGCCGCATCGGTGGTTCGGTATAGAATGCCTGCTCGCCACGCGGGCGGCCCGGGTTCGGATTCGCGCCGAGTACTTTTTATATTGTTTCGCACTAGATTTCTTTGAGTGCAGTCGAGCGATTGCAATGTGAAGGAAAGCGTGAAGAATATATTATATTACTATATTGAAGAATATATATATATATTACTTTGTAAGGACTCTCTCGATTTTTAAAATTATTTGATTTTTTATTCTGTGTATACAGGTTATTGGTTGGGATAAAGTTTCCTGTGTATATATATACAGGGTGTCCAGCCTTAAAATGACCCAATAGCTAATTCCCGAACCGTTCGGCTTAGACTTGCACTTCCAATTTGAAAAAATGTTTTAAAAAAGCGTAAAGAATGTTTTATTTCTGTTTTTCACAAAACCAAAACCCATTTTGAAAAAAAAAATTTTTAAAAATTCACTTTTTATGCGGTCCCCAAGTCCTATCACTTATATATATTTAGGAAAAGATGCAGTACACAAAAAAGTAAACACAAAAAGTTTCATTTTATTACGATAAAACTGGCTTGGCACTATGTGGGACTTTTGAATATGACACATTTCATGCATTTGTTAAGTGATTTTCAAGAAGGTAATTAGGTGCCGTCTCCAAAGTGAAATTAATTGAAACTCTACAGGAAACTTTCGCTCCTACATGTGTCACTCTTATTTAAATCGTTTTAAATTTAAAGCATTATTACAATAATTGAGTGCTTAAGAAATAAAAATTTATTATGCATACACATGTAACATGTAAGAGTACATGGAGCAAGCTATGCAAAACATTTCAGTGCTAAAAGTTCCAAAAATAGGTTTATTTGCTGCGGGTACTCGATCATGGCGAACATTAAAAATCTGTTGTGTGGTCAAGTTTCTGCAATTGTATTACAGTCATATTCTAATATTACGAATTCTAGTACGGAGAACGAGATGCATATAAATGAAGAATACTGGGAAATGGTACTGTTGTTTGGGTAGTGACCGAAATAAGAGAGGCGGCAAGACTTTTGCCATTACATTTCCCAGTCGAAGACATCCATCTATTGTACAATTGACAAGTGCTGCTTATTGCTTGTATAAAACTGGGAGTTGTCATAAACGTATTCCCCTATCTCGTGCCACACCTTCAAAGTGACAATTCACTGAGGATAAACAGATATGCCCCGGCTCATGGGATATGCCTGGCCTTTGTTCGTACTCAAAATCGACGGTGCTGAACATATTACATACGTAATGGTACATATCCTTATCGTCCAAAGTCCTGGCGCAGGAACTAATGCCCGAGACCAGGAACGTCGTTTTGATTTTTGCAATTTTCAGGTTAAACACACTCCGATGAAAATCCAGAATTTTGAATGAAGTTTTGTGGTCGGATGAATGCCAGTTCTCGAGGCAAGGCACTATTAATACACAGAATAGGCATTATTGGTCCCTCCAAAACCCACATCTAATACGACCGAATCGCCACCAAGTCGGTTGGTGAATGTGTGGTGCGGAATATGGAAGAGCACCTTAATTGGCCCAATATATTTTGATGGACCTTTAACATCACAATCATACACGGAAATTTTATCTGGGACGTTAGCCGATTTTTTAGAAGATGAAGTTTCCTTACGGGATTTGTTACGCATGTGGTACCAGCATAATGGTGCTCCCGCACCCAAATCTGCGCAACCATGTACATTTTTGGCGGAGACATTTGACACTTGAATAATCGACTACGAAGGTCAAGAGGTTGCAGAAGCTACAGGCGAAGTTTCTGACGCGGGTTTGGTACTGCATTTCTGCGGAAGGCAGTCATTTTGAACATTATTTTAATTTGGTCATTCTGATATAATAAAGCCCATGATTCATGATTGGAGTATCACTCCACATTATGCTATAATTTGAACGGCAAATCATGTATTCTTTTGCTGCTACTTGTTTAAACAAGCTGTTCAAATCTTTTCGGTACAAGTTCTATTTCTTTAATTTAACATTTATTGTTTGTCATATAGCAATACAAATTATCAATCTATGAGGTTTACTACGATGTTTTAATATTACTATGATGTTTTCTTTTGATCTTTTTATAGATAGTGAATTACTGTTCTCTAAACTCAATATGTATTCGACCCCCTTTTCTGAGCAATTCAGATGCTTCAACTTTATGTAGGCATAACTCGGTCAGTTTTATCGTAATAAAATTAAACTTTTTGTGTTTTCTTTTGTTTTTGTGTACTACATCTTTTCCTAAATATAATTGATAGGACCTGGGGACCGTATATGTACCAATTTTGTAATTTTTTGTAAATGGGGTTTTTTGGTCTGAAAAAGCACGTAAAACATTCTTTACCTTTTAAAAACATTTTCAAATTGAAGTGCATGTCTAAGCCGAACGGTTCGGGAATTAGCTATTGTCACTTTAAGGCTGGACACCCTGTATATTTATATATGACTTGTGGTTGTGTTCACATGGGGACCAAACTGATGGATGTATAATGTGATAATCGTCTTCGTAATATTTCTTTTTGAGAGATAACGTTCTTTCATCTTTCATTCAGGACACGTACTTTATTCTCACACACAATCCTTACATGTGTCAATGAATAAAATAATTAAAATACAAATAAATATTTTAAATGAATGTTTTTTAATTGTTTTACCCTGAATCCTCACGAAGTTCGAATATCTTTCCCATGAATTTAGAGTGTAGAATAACACATCACTGTATTGGTATAAGGTATTGTATCTTTTTCTATAGTACGTGTCATATTAAGAAAACAATATTTGGCGGAAACAATAAGATTTCTTATTTATTTTAATCTTGAGTCTCATCGCTTTGCTCTTAAGGTTGCAGAGGTATGTAATTGATAAGCACTTGCATTACGGAAATTCCATTCCAAATACTTCAATTTGTGTTGGAAACAACGGAAATTTTTTCTTTTCAACTAATTTACCCTAGTTCTGTTTTGGTTTGGTTGTATAAACATCTAAAATCGGGGTTGGCAGCCTAAGGCACGCATGCCACATTTGGCACCTGGTACAATTCTCAGTGGCACTATCCACTACTCTACAAATTTGTCAATTTTTGAATAAATGAAAGTTGATAAATTTGTGATGGACCTTATTTAACAAACATTTTCAGAATTACAGGAAGTTTACGGAATTACGATAAAATATGAAAGATAAATTTACAACTTTTTTGTAAATTATTGAATGTCATCATTGTTGAGAGATTTTAATTTGTTTGAAGAGAGAAAGTGGTTTGTACTCTGCTTTCCGCTTTTTTGGATCTACATATCTAAGTAAAAAATTTTTCCGCATATGAAAAATATTTCGAGTCCACAAAGAAATTGTTTAACAATTAAAGGCTCAGAAATGAGTTAAAATAAAAAGCCCGAATTATATCTGGGATTTTCCGATATGAAAATAGAGTGGTGTGGGGGCACTAATTTCCCAAAAAAATTTTATTTATCTTTTTTTTTTAACTAAAATTTAAAAAAGAAGTACATGTATTTTTTTTTTATTTAAATAAATATTTTTAAAAAAATTTCAAAATGAAATATATTTGTTTTTTTTTTTTGGAAAGAAATATTATTTTTTATGTTGTTTTTTTTTTATTTTAATAAATATCTTTAAAAGTTACAAAATTAATGTATAATAAATGTAAATCATATTATTCACCTCTTTTCTCTAATTCTGCATGCATTATTGTGGGAATCGAGTTGTTTAAAAAAATGTTTTTGTTTGTGGCACCTGAATTTTTGGGTAGATTGGTTTGGCACGGCACAGCTAAAAGGTTGCCAACCCGTGGATCTAGAAAATACCGATTTTTAAATTTTTTTAAAAATTATATTAATTGCGGTTTAATAATTTTGTGTAAACTGTTATTGATGAATCTTTTCTTTTAATTAGTTGTTGTTTTTATCTAATATTTAGCAATATAGTTTTAAAAAAATGTATTGTTTCTACCCAACTTGAAAATTTTAAACCGTAAAATCCAGCATTATTGTATCCTAGTTCAGAATTCGTTTATAAATAAATAAACTGAGTTTAAAAGTATATGACTTGGCAACGAATGTTTTTCAATTAAGCAAAGCATTTATCAAGCTATTTACATGGATGCATAAAAAAATGTAAGGGCTGCGGCAGCCCAGTGGTCTAGGTATCGGATCATGGAAGGCATGTCATGAGTTCGAGTCCAGTACCACTATAGACCCCAGTGTGGGGCAGCGATCACGTTAAATCTGTCGAACTGAAACTCCTCCCGTTGGGTGGTAGTTAGGGGGGGGTGTCAGCTCGGGGGGTCGTCCACGTCACTTGACCATGGTTCAAAATTGGGTCCGTCGCCAAAAAACCCCCCTGTAGCTGAACAGTGGGTTTTTACTCACCATAAAAAAAGTATTTTCCCCCGCTCAAAGCAGTTTGAACGCATCGAGAGGAATTCCCTCTTTTCCTTTTCGGAGTGTTTTCCCTCCCGCGTTGCCACAGGTGAGAAGAGAAACCCCGGCGTTTTTTCCGTTTTGGTCAAACACTCGCCCCCCCATTCCCCTATATAAGCGCACTTTCACAAAAAAAAAGATCTGAACAGGTGCAAGTTATATTCCAGGTATAAAAATAAGAGTCTCAAAAATAAAAAAAAATATAGTTTAAAAAAACTAAAAAACGCGCTTTTATAGTTAATCGAACTAAAAAGCAAAAAAAATTTTAAAAATAAGAAAAAAAAACTAACGGAAAAAAATGTCATTTTGGTAAAAAGGGGGGTGCTTTGTACTACATTTTTACACTAACTCTGCATTTCGGAATAGAACTAGTAAGAAATTATAATGATTGATATCAAGCACCCCACATTTACCACAACGACATTAATTTTCTCTTTAATCATTTTATTCT